GAGGAAGCCGTAAGTCTGCTCTTCATTCCAAAGTCCCCAGCCTGCTGCGTGGAACCCTCGGGGCTCTGTAACACTTAAATGACAGTGTCAAACTGGTAGATCAAACATAGAATTGTACACATGGTGGGGTACATCTGAGGATTTGACCCCCATGGGCTTGTTTAAAGCCGGGGTACCTGTTCCTTTACGGTGACAAAATTCAAAACCTTCCAGCCGTTCTGCAAGAACAATATAAAATCCTCGTCTGTATTCACTCGGTATTCTTGCCAGCCCTGTCCTGTCCGCAGCCTCCAGTGTTCCGCTCCTAGCTTCTGTGACATCACCTTTGCTGGCCTTGCTGGCCTATGCCTGATGCTTTCACCAACCTGCTGGTTCCGGTCCCTTCCGTGCTGCAAGGGACAAGGTTTAATTCTCTAGAATTCTTCCATTATGTATACACACCAACTTCCTTGCCCACTCAACAGCGACAAACGTTCTTAATTACAAGGGCATGCTTTCTATTATTGGGTTTGTTTATGAAGGATGCACATAAACCTCCTATTATATAGAAAATTTAGCCTCATTCCTGTCTGAATTCTTGAGAGGACAGAAAAACCAGGGATATCAATCAAAAACAGTCTTGTTGTCCTCCCATGAGAAGATGGTCCTAATAACCAACCAAAGCTTGTGTGTCAGATGCCACAGAGACAACAGATAGACATTTGGGCTGAGTTCAAGGTCGAGTGAAGAAAAATATGGGAACTCCAACTATCCTGGGCCTACGTACAAATCTTGACTTTGCCTCCTAGAGGTAGGATGCCACTTGGCCTTCCTCAGTAGGTGCTCTAACCTATTAAAATGAGACAACCTTGGTCTCCCTGGCTGGAGGAGGCTGAAACGAGATCAACTAAACAAGATATTGTTGACAATAGGCATCTTAAAGAAACTCCAGATCTAGCAGCGGATGGATGCCTTGCACGGGAGAGAGGGGATGGCGGGCAGTCATCTGCCTGAGAAGCAGATAATTCTCATAAGCTTACACCCCCCTCCTAGATGGGATGTCAGCATCCTCCCGAGTGTGCTCACACTGTGGTCCTCCATGGTTGTAAAAGAGCACACTGCACTCCAGATTAGGAGACCAGGATTGCCGAGCTGGCTCTGCCCCTCACTGAGCCTGTCTGGCAGCTATGCCCTGCAGAATCTCTCAGAGATGCAGGAAGGCATGGGGTGAGTTCTAGCCTCACATGATAGCTCCTGACACCCAGTACAGTGGATAAGGCTGACAAAGAAGACAAAAAGCACAGTTAGTTCAGCACCATGCCTGGACAGCCACCATGAAGACCGACTGTGTGCTGCTTCACTGGGCTCTTTCTGTGTGTTAGCACGTTTACTCCTCACAGTGACCTGTTACGTGCATGTGGTGTATCTCTACAAGGTGGGAAAACAGAGGCATTGAGAGGCACCAGGGTGTTGAAATAGGAGCGGCGGGGCTGCGTCCCCGGCACCCGGCCGCCCGCATGGCTAGCTTATACCCAG